ATAAATCAAAATACCTATTTTATAATATTGTAGAAAAACATTATTCTTAAACATAGCATGTATGGCATTCTTGTAATAAAAATGATTTTTTCATAATTTTATTTATGATAGATTCTCAGTATGTGATAAAAATTATAATACCAATATTTCTTTCATTTGCAAATTATAAATTATAAGCAAACACACATTTAATATTATTTTATTTTAATTATTGTGATATCTTATCTTATAAACTAAATCAAAAAATTAAAATATGATCTGTTCTGCACACATTCCACGTGTCGTGATTTAGTGGTCACTTGCTGCCCCAAAAGGCAGCCCGTTATTTACACTCTTAAGTTTTGGGTTTAATATCTCCCACTAACACCTCTATCATACTAACCTCTAACCATTACCCTTATAAAAAAAAAAAAAAGAATCTGTTTTGCACAAACTACACTGCAGCACTCTCAAACTAAAATCATTAGTGAATTAATTTCATAATAATAAATAGATAAGCAATGCTAAGGCTTTCGTTTGTTGAAAATTTTAACAAATTTTTTTCACACAAAACTTTATTTTAAAATATAATTTTTTAATTTTAATTATTTTAATTAATTTTTTACATATATTAATTAATTTTATTTAATATTTTAAATATTTTGAAATAATAAAAAAAACTACTGTTATAGTGCAATGTAGCACTGTCAAATCAAGTCTTGCCTAAATGTACCGACTGTCTATAGCATGAATGCATGATTGGTGTAGAATGTTCTTTTTAAAAATAAAAACTAAAAACATTAATGCATAATACAGGAATACTTAACCTCACACCGAGTTCCTATAGGATTCGAAAGGCCTATAAAATGTAATACTGATGTAGCTATGAACCTAAAGAGGGGGTCGAGCTGGAATTGCTGCTGTGTGCAGAGAAGGTTTTGGTTGTCTTCTTGATGGGATTGTTGTCAAACAATTCAGGGCGACAGTGTTGATGGCAGAAACTTTGGCATTGTGAGCTGCTATTGGATGGCCAGCTTCCTGTGGAGTCTCTAGAGCCATCCTTGAATCTGATTGTAAGATCCTTATACAAGTAGTTAAACATGAAATACCCTTACCATGGCAGATTGCTCCTTTGGTTAATCCTATCTGGTAATTGTAATTGACTGCAGCTTTTTCTTTCTATATTTTTATTCACGTCTCAAGGGAGACAAATTTAGTAGCAGATTGGGTGGCTAAATGGGTGTTGAGGAGCTTGTGTACCTCTTGTTGACCTCTGTACTTTATAATGTAAAGATGGTATTAGTTTATATAATGAAGTTTTTTAGTAATTTAATAAGTGATTTAATGATTAAAAATTAAAATTTTTAAATTTAAATCTTGAATCGAATAAAAAAAATTTTTTTTAAAAGAAAGGTTGATAATTTTAATAAAGTGGTTTAATAATTAATAATTTTAAATTTTAAATTAAAAATATTAAATTTAAATCTTAAATAAAATAAAAATTTAGAGGATGGGAAGGACTAACCCTTCTATGTATGCACCGAACCCTTCGAATTAAGTGGCAAAAGCCACCATGGTGCATTCCCCTTCGCCAGGTTCGAACCTAGCTCCTTGTAAAATTTGTTAAAAAAAAAAAAAAACCCTCCTATGTATAATCCATCAAGATTAAAAAATATATATATATATTTCTGGTTTGTACAGAAAAGAGAAAACGATAGTACCATTCTACATCAGAAAAATAAAAAAGGAAAAGATCGTACCGATACGGTACTATCACAGGCCCATCATCAGGCGGTGGTATCACGGGCCGATAAATGTGGGTCTAAAGTGGGCCCGAACTAAAGAAGCAGTGAAGGTAAAAGTGAGAGCTGAGAAGTGGTGTTTAGGTGCTCCCTTTTGTACTCCTAAAATGGTAGGCGAGAGGGTCCCACGTGTCACGTGAAGGTTAGCATGGTGACAAGGGACGGTTGTTTTACTATAGAACCTTATTCGGTTGGAGGACACCTCTATTGGAAAACGGGTTTTTTTTAATGTGTATTTTTAATATACAAATTTAATAGATATAATTAATATATTTTTATAATTAATTTATATAAAAAAAGATAAGTATTAATTTTAAATTAATTAATTAAAATTAATTAAATATTAATAATGTTAAAATAAATATTAATTTTTATAATTTTTATATAAATTAATTATAAAAAATATATTTATTATATTTTAATCTATATTCATACTAGATAAATTTTTTTAAAAAATATTATATAAAAAAATTATTAAATTTTGTTAAAATATAGATAAACTATTTAGTTTGATTGTATAATAACAATTAGTCAATATATTCCATTTGTTTCGTAATAATAATTTTTTTTTCATTTTATTTTCAACCACAACTATATTAAATAAAACTTAATTTTTTTAGAATATGAATCTATTTATATATAAATTTTACACATTACACTTATATAACATTTTAACTATTTAATCTATATTTTTAATAATTAAAATTTATTCATATTTATTAAAATAGTTATCTTTTTTTTTATCTAGATTGCAGTGATATATAAATTTTAATAATTGAAAGTGAATAAATAAATGATTAAAGATTTTTTATAGATATAATATATAAATTTTATATGTAAATAAATCACTTATCTTTAAAAATTATTAACTAAATCAAAAGTTTAAATTTATCAATTTTAGTTAATTTTTTAAGTTTAGTTTTGGTTTTAACTAGTCCCACTGGTTTTAAAATAAGTGGTTATAATATCTTAACTTTATATAAATTAATTTAATAATTTTATGTATTAAAT